CAGTTGGCAGCGAGGGCCCACACTCTTTGACGATGCTGAGAAGGCCCAGAGATATCTTTCTCCCCCCCCCCCCCCCCATGCAGAACCCGCATCCTTAGCGCCTGCCCACTCACATCAGCGCATACCCAAGCTCCCCGTTTTCGCCCCGATCGTCCGTGGGCCCTGTATGATAATGGGTGTCTTGCGGTGTGTAGGTGTGTGTGTGTGTCCCAGGTTCGTTGGCGCGCCTTGAGGTCATCGTTTCCCTCAGCAGCAACAGCTAGCCTGCAGTCGGACCCTCTGGGAGCAAGGACTATGGGTAGCCAGAGATCCGCCGCAGAAGTACGTGCGTTAAAATGGAAATTAGCAGGCTTTGGCCAGGTCTCGAGCCCACCCTTGGATAGAAGACCACGTAGACTGTAGCCTTCATCGCCAATCAGAAGGAAAACCGTCCGAGCGAGAGATGTGGGAACAGGGTTTGGTCGTACTGGGCCCAGCCACCTAATGCCACGCTCTTCGTCGTTCTGGAGCCTTCGCCTGGTGAAGGAGGTCCCTGTACAGTGCTGTTGTTCGGGATGCCCTAGGCCAGCATCATCTCCCGTGCGTCCACAAACACCCGGCGGCATATTTCCGCCCCATTTCAATCTTTGTGGATGCTGTACCCTGAGGGGCAAAGCTGCAGAATGCTGATATTGAAGTAACGGCGCCGCAGAAAGAGGATGCCGTGCAACAGAAGAAAACCAGCGGCATGGCCCATGTCGGGATTGGCAGCGGCATGCATCGTGGGGTATTGGATCCATGTTTGGCCAATCCGACTAACTCGACAGTTTTGAGGGTCCCCTTAACAAGTGCCTTTGGGCCTCTGCGGTTTTCGGGTATCTGCCTGTCCTCTCTGACGCCCTTGTGAGCCCTGGCATGGTTCATGTTTACCTGCCAGACCTGATTGCGCGAGGCCTTTTTGTCGTACCGCCCAGTACTACGCAGCCCAATGCTAGTTCACCCATCATAGAATATTTCTTCCCTTTTCTGCTTCTTTTAGTAGTCAGGCTCGCGACTTCGACTTGACGATACGAACTTCGTGCGGTCTTTGGTAAGGAGAGATTTCAACTCGCAATACAGAAATGGCCAAGTAAGCCGGATAATCTCGAAATCCCTACTTTCGAATCCTGACCTTGTCGAAGCGAAGATACAGTCCCCCTTGACGAGGCCTATCTGCCAACTGTCATGCACCATGGTCGAGAATATCAACAATTTGCTGTCGACAACTATCATTATTTCGAGCCGATAGATGAGGTGCGCATACACATGGCACTGGCCAGCTTCCTTCCGTATCATGCCACGTTGACATGGTTCATTCTAGGACGAGGTTGATCGACTGCACATCTTGCACTGGGTGCTGCTCCAGGCGCTTGACAATCGTTTGCTTCCATCGCAACTTAGTAGACCACGAAGGGTCCTCGAGTGCGGCTTTGGAGCGGGCGATTGGGCTATAGATGTTGCCAAGGCCTACCCAAACTGCGAGGTACGCGATTCCGTTGTCATAGTTTGCACCAGGATCTTGGCTTCGAAGGATATTTTCGTGAAAGAAAAGACGACATGAAGCGCGAAGACACACTCGAGTTGCCGTTGAGTCGAAACCCTACACCGCGCATCGAGATAGATGGGTCAGCCTACGATGGCCGCTTCTAATTTCTCGCCCCCTTTTCCAACACGCTTTGATTCGCTGGGGTATTGGTTCTGATCCAACTCGCAGGTGGTTGCAGTCGACATCTGTCCACACATGTGGCCGCAAGACGAGCTACCAGGCAATCTAAACTTGCAAGTGGATAACGTCAACGAAAGGTGTGAGGAACGAATGTCTCTGGCGTGCTTCAGCTGATGTGATGAACCAGATTCACGTGGCCCAGGGGCGATTTCGACCTCATTCACAGCCAGATGATGGCAGGTGTCATCGATACGGGACGATGGCCAAGCTATATCCGAGATATATTCCAGACGCTTCGCAGAGGGGGTTGGTGTCAGATGGTGGAGATATACTTCAATGCACAATCGGATAACGGGACGTTGACAGACGGTTGGTCCGCCGCAGCTTGTTTCTCTGATTGATGATGTAGGCGGACTAATGGAAAGCGAGCGCAGACCACGGACTTCGAAGATGGTCGAAGACTTATATGGAAAGCGTGCAACCGCATAAAGATCCTCGAGCACCACTTAAAATGGCAAACTGGATGCGCGAAGCAGGCTTCATCGTGTCGCAAGAGCCCAGGCCGATACCCCTGGCGACATGCGGCTGGCCTCGAAGTACGTTCGTGGGGGATGGTCTGGGTAAAGAACAGCTGGCTGACAAGCGTCCAGGTTCCGCCCAGCGTGAGATTGGTGTGGCCAATAGGGAGAACGTGCGCAGCTTGTTGTCATCAATGGCAGCGTACCCGATGACAGTGTTTCAAGGGTAAGCCATGTCGAGGACTGGATGCCATGGACGGCCACGGGCATTCGTTGGGATTGGCGTCAACTGCTGACCTACTCTCCCAGCATGGCCTCTGCAGACTTCGAGCTCTTGGTGGCACAAGCTAGAAACGAGGCCGACAATCCGAGGTTCAAGGTGCGTGAATGGTGCTGTTGGTTTTGGCCCTGGTCTCGACGTTCCTGACGCTGAACACGAGAGAATATTTGCTGACGAGTTGTTAACATCTGTGATCCTTAGGCATACTTCTCCTTGTGAGTCCATGCTACCATACCATCCGGTCTATTGCTGTGCTGACGAGCTGTGATTTAGGTACGTCTGTACAGGCCAAAAGCCACAGTAGGCAGGACTCACGCGTCCAGTGGAAAGGGCCGGTCAAGCGGACGGTATAATGATCACGATGAAGTATAAATGGGCACGCAGGTTATTTTGAGGCGTGGAGCGTAGCGAGAAATCGGCGAATTTGTGTGTGAGAGAGGGGAAATGACAGGCGCCTCACGTGTGCCAGGGTGCATACAGAACAACACAAGACTTTTGGGAACACAGTCCAGAACTGTACCAGATGTTGCCACGCCGTGAGAAGGTAATGGGCAGCGGTCTCCTGGTTGCACTTACCTTTCTTGGCTTGCATAGACTGCGCGTCGCCGTCTCGTTGTGAGTCTGACGGGAGGCCGACGACAACACTAGGTAAGGTACCTACAGGCATGAGGGACTAAGAAAGCAAGTGCCAAACAGAAGCATCTACGGGAAAGCATAGCGTGAAGCGTCCCTTCCTGTGCAAGGCTGCTGTTCACTTCATTGGGGGGAGCTGGGAAAGTGGAGGGCGCTTGCTAGGCTCGCTACCATTCCCTCGGGACAGCAAGGATCCAGGACGGGGGCAGTCGCAACACGCAGTCTCGGTCAGTCTACCATGTAGAGGTAGTCAGTGCCAAGTGTTCCCTGCCACACTGGGTACTGGGCGTGTGCTGCGTTGGTACATGTAGTCATCTGAACTCGACGGCTTGGAAAACATAGGTACCTACCTAAGGTACCTATGTAAGTATCGTGATAGGGAAGCGTTGTGGCAGCCCCCATTTGAACATCCGAAGCTGGGCCATGCTCAACCAGAAAATTTGATCCATCGCCATTAAGTAGCGCGGCGATATCATCTTGATGAATTCCTCCCCATTGCCAAAGCGATGGCTGTTGATGTTAACAAGGCAGTTCATAGCGGCCAGTTCACACAGACAGAGCTTTGGCTGGTGGGCCAATCAGGAAACGCAATTGCCCCCACTCCAAACCAGATGATGAAGCTATTCAACTTTTTGCGAGCATGCTCAATCAGGCCATCTCTCCCCAACGCCATTAGTGACACAATCCTCTCCCAATCGACCACAGATAATCCCCAGAGCTCAAGAAGCTGCAGATACACTACCTGCATCGTCTCATTTCTTCCAGCAGCCCATTCCCCACGCCGGTCTAGCCTGACTGCATAACGTTTTAACCTCCACCACCACAAGAGCCCATCATGGCCGCGCGCTTCCCCCTCCGCTGGCTTCAGGCCCTCTGTCCGATCCGACTCCAGCCCGCCCGCCGTTCCTACCATGTCACCGCCCCCCTCCGCTCCGCCGCCGACGCAGCACCCTCGACCCCCCCTTTCCTCGCGACCCTCAAGGCCGACCTCAAGACGGCCATGCGCGCCAAAGACGCCCAGCGCCTCGCCGTCCTCCGCGCCATCATCACGACGACCAACAACGCCGCCAAGACCGACAGCCCCATCGCCACCGACGCCCAGCTCATCGCCCTGCTGCGCCGCAACATGCGCGCCAACCTCGACGCCGCCGAGCAGGCCCGCGCCGCCCAGCGTGAGGACCTCGCGGAGAAGGAAAATGCTCAGGCCAAGGTGCTGCAGGACTACATCGAGAACAGCGGCGTCAAGCAGGTCACCGAGGCCGAGATCGTCGAGCTCATCAGCCGTACGATCGACGAGGTCAAGGCTGCGAGCGCCGACAGCAAGTCTTCGCTGGGCGCCGTCATGAAGGGTGTTCAGGGCGCGCTCAAGGGACGGGCTCTCGAGGTGGATATGGCGAGAGTCTCGGAACTGGTCAAGGAGGCCATCAACAAGGCGTGAGGGACGGCCTTCTCCGGTTGAAGAGCCAATGGAGCAACAGCCTCCATGTGAGTAACAAAAGAAATGTACAAACACTGTAGTATCAAACACACAAAGAGCGGCAACGCCCGCACCGGCGACTTGTAGAGTTGACGTCGACGCATGGCGTAGAATCGCCACTTCAACAATCATCATTTCACCAGATTGGTATCTATCGACATGACTGCTCCCCCTCGCTTCCCAAACGCCTTGCTCGGGGCCCAGCCGGGCCCGCGGCCCCAACCATCAAATAGACATGTCCTCGCCTCAGGCGGCAATATCCTCTTCGTTCCGCAGCCCCGCGTACTCTGTTCCTTGATTCGCGGTGCTGAGGCGCGCGCAAAGACTAAGGAGAACGACCGTCTCCGTGGCAGCATAGTGATTCAGAGCATCCAGGAGGATTTGCAAGTGCCGGCTGAAGTTACCCTCCCACTTTTTCATTATCTCAAAGAGATTGTTGACGCGTGCCTCCTGATCCGTCTGACTTGACGCTGATGAGGTTGAGTCACCATGCCCGGACGTGCCCTTATGCGTCCGTACGGACTGGAAGACCTTCCACTGGTCGTCTGTCATGTTGGGCGGTTTTCTGGTGCCGCTGAGGTCAGGATCAGCCCGTTCGAGCTCTCGGGAGAGCCAGTTGGAGTAGGTTGCAAAGATGGTGCATGTTTGCATAAGCTTGGAGTGGATCTGAAAGACCGTGTTAAAGCCCGTGATCATGACACAGCGAGGGGGGGGGCATCCACATACCCTGAGGAGCTTGCTGTTGGTTAGCATGCACTCTTTCAAGCAAGTGTCCAGGAAGTCCACGTGGTCTTGCATCAGCTCGTCAACCGTCCTCGTCGGGCCCTCTGATGAGTCTCCCTGGTTTTCCTCGTTCGTCTTGATCCTCGACATAAACTTGGTCCAGTTGGGTTCGATGACTTCTGCCGTGCAAAAGTAGAGCAGCTGCTGGACGAACACGAGCATGCGGGCGCGCAATGTCCAGACTCTGCGTTTCCAAATCTCCAAGCTCCTTGACGTGCTTTTATGGGCCCAAGTGACTCCTGAAGTATGGGTATGCCATGTGGTCGAAAGTTGCGATTCGAGGTACCGCAGCGAGAGTAGATATCGGAACAGGGCCTGATACCGCCACACCGTCTTGCGACTAATAACCAGTGAGACAGGGAACGGCACTGCATAGTCCAGCTGCAGGGAAGTAAAGCCTAAAGCGTTCTTGTCGTGGTCTGATGGCTGATGAGCCAACGGCTGCAGCGTCTCACCCTGCTCAATGCCTGTGATATTGACGACTCTCTGCAGAGACTTGGTGAGAGTGATCTCATTCATCTCCACTTTTACATCCTCTTTGAAAGGATCCAAGGACACGATGCTGCCTGGTTGGCGCAGCACGAGGTCGAGCAACGATTGCAGCTTGCCGGTATTAACAGACTTGACGGGCTTTCGGAGTTCCGAGGCGCCGAGCTCCAGGAAGTATGAGAAGTAGTCCGAAGGGTCCAAGAAGAAGTAGTGCTTGAGGGATCGTAACCGCAGCGGCAGAGAGTGCGTCGTCAGAAGAAGCTGCATGAGCGACTCATTGGCGTGCGCGTAGGCAATATTGACGTTCTCCAAGAATCGGCTGTCATCAAATGACAGCGGCACATCCTTGACGACCTTGCTGACGTCTACACCGCCACATTCTCTCACAACGTTGAGATATTTGCCGGCCAGGAGAACCTTCTCTTTGACGCCTTCAAGCTGTGGTGGGACGTCATGCTCTCGGATTGTGTATCGTCGTTCCCAGTACTCATCTGTGTAATCCTGCTCGAGCCTTTCCCTCCGAATGCTCTTTTGTTCCTTGACCAAGAACTCCGCATGGGTATCATTGATGCCACCGTGGTGAAGCCACTCGTTCAGCATGACCATATACGGCCTACTGGCATCTCGCAATAAGGATGTAAGCAAGGCACGCGCTGCCGGGTCGCCCGACATGGCTTCGAGTCTTTTAGTGATGAGACCTAGCACGACGCCGCCTTTGCATATCTTCTTTCCCGTCATGTTTCCGGCGCCCAAGTCGCCGCCTTCTCGAAGAGTTTCGAGGATGTTCTCAAAGTCATCGCCACTGTCGCTTGATTCCTCGTCATCATCGTCCAGGAGTGCGTTGCGTTTGAGAAGCTCGAGGGCTAAAGAATGAAGCTGCGCCATCATTTGGCTCGTCGGCAGGATGTGGATATTGAGGACATGGAGCGTAAACGTGTCGTTGGTGAGAAATTGGGTTTCCAGCTGAGCAATCATGACGAGGTAGTCCTGGAGAAACTTGCGCACAGAGGCGCACAATGCGTGGTTCACGGCGCCAAACTCCTCCCGACTCTGCACATCGACAAACATCTCCAGCGCCGAGTAATAGCTGGCCATTTTCAGCATCGACATGGTCAGATCCTGCAGACTGGGGTCAAGGCCAGGGAGGATCCTAAATGTTGGACCAGACAGGCGATCGCGCTCCTCATGCTGGTTATAGCTCTTCGCGAACCGGATATACTGTCCTTCATAGCCCATGAAGACGAATAACAAATCCTCCAGGATGGCAGCCTCTTGGGCCTCGAGGGATAGCTCATTCAGGGGTTTCGGTTGAAGAGCTGGAGGCGCCTCGGATGCCAGCGGGGGCACAGATATTCGTGACGCCAGAGGGGCGGATGTGTGTGGTAGCAGGCACGCCTCGGGGCGCCATGGCTCTGCTGTGGCTCCAGTCAGTCGGGCAGAACACGGTCGCTTCGCAGGATCCTCAGCATACCTGGCGGCTCGACCCTCGCTTCCTTCTGTTGCGATTCAGAGGTCTTGTGGGTTTCTGGGGCCTTGGCCTTTGCACTCGTTGTGGACGACCGCTCTGCGCGCTGCGGACTCCTCGTCCTCTGTGTCAGGCGCTCGAGCTGGGTGACAAAGGTTCGTTCAGTGCGGCGCTCCTCGATGCGCCGATCCTCGTGTGTCCTGCTCGACGGGCGGGGGTTTCCAGACGCCGTTCTCTTATGCGACGTGCTCTCGAAGCGCCCATCAGACTGAGGCTGGGCCTGGCGTGAATCGGGTCGCTCATGTCTGTTGCTGCTGGTGAAGCTCCCTTGGGCGTTGCTCATGCGGGGTCTCGGCGGCCTGTCCTGGTCGGCTGGGGCTCCATTTGCGCGGCGGTCGTGGGCTGGTACCCTGGACGACATGTCGCAGGCTGCATTGACATTGAGGAAGCTGCGAGGTAGTCGTATGCTGGCGTGAGGACCATGCGAGCCCTGTCGGCGCTCAAGAGTATGTGATCGTGAACGTGAGCGTGGGCGTGTTTGGGCGGGGCTCATTGGGTTGTAGCGCGTCAGGCCTAGGGTCAGTCAGGTCAGGCAAGGTAAGGTACGGTCCAGCACCTGTAGCTACCTAGATCGGTACCTGGGCAGGTACCTGGGCAGGTACCTGAAGCGCTTTGGGGGCGGTAGCTGCTGAGTCGTCCGCCACAGGAGAGTCGCGTCTTGGCCGGAACATCCTCGCGTCGGTGTGGCAGGTGAGTTGATCCGGCGTTAGTGTGAACAACCCTCCCCACGCCTTCCGCTCTCTGCCTCGCAATCGCCAATCGGAAGCTCGGATCCCTGCAGGGGGGTGAAGGGGGGTCTACTGCTCCCTCAGTGACCAAGAGCTTGCGGCTGCGGCTGCGGCTGCGTAGGCTGGCTGCTTGCCTAAGAAACCTCCAGCTGGAGCTCCCCGTCACCTTCAAGATCCCCCAGCGATACAACCACCTCAACCGACGACCTCACGACCAGACGATACCCTCCCTTCCCACCTTCCAAAGCACCAACAATCCTACCTCCGCGAAACACCCCCAGAATACCGCCAAGATGTTTATGGCAAGATCCGAATATGGTACGTCGACTTCATGCCATTCAGCCATAGCCATGACCGCCTTCTGCCCTTTACCCCCCCTCCCCCCCCCCCCCCCCCCCCCCCTTCCCTTTTGGGGTCCGGGGGGGGGGAAAAAAAAACAGGAATAAAAACCCTTCCCCCCCAAAGGGGGCGGGTCCCAGGTGAAAAATCCCCCC